TACAAAAATAATCTTCAGTAATTTCACATTTACTCCTTATCTCTCTTGCCTGTACTTTCTCCCTTGAGAATGCCATGGCTTTTCTGGCCACTTCTATTCTGCACACTTCGAAGTTTCCATTTCAAGCTTTGGCTCACTCCAATTCCATATTGTCAGCTTTCTTTTGGACAACAGGAACTTTATTGTGCTAGTCCTTCAGCCTTACAATTTTCAAAACTTATTTCACACTTCCACACACCACCCAAATTTCCCAGTGACCTCTGTGTATCCTGCTTCCAGCCAAACTGGGCTACTGGCTTACGATTTCTGGGACCTACCCTAAACTTTTCTTTCTTTCTACATTTATTCTATTTCGTCTTTTTTGCATGCCTTTCTCTCCTGCCTCTGCTTATCAAAATTCTTCCCTTATGTAATCTGCTTTCTTGGTAAAATTTGCCTGAATGTCATATATGGAAGCGATCTTTCCTTTTCCCTTAAGGAGACCTAAATCTGTACTTTTCTTTAAAATCCTATACTATAGTTTATGTCATATTCATTTTACCTTACTATTCGATCTCTCCTTCTGGATTTTAATTTCCTTTATGGCAAAATGAATGTCAGGTTTATTTTAGCATTTTCACATATTGGAGCACGTAGTAAATGTTCAAAAAGTAAATATCAGTGAATACTCGGCCATTTTCTGTAAGGACATTTTGGATATGCTGAGAAGTAGCAAGACACAATTAGGTTGAAATTAGAGATATGGAGTTTCTTCACCTAAACTAAAGAGAATGCGAAAAGTGTCTCAGGAAAGAGGTTGTGAACAATTCCATTAAATGCTGCTGACAGATGAAATGATGAAGGCGGAGAATTGAATATGGGTTATAGCAACATAGTTCACTGCTCATCTTTAAAAAAATATTTTTATTGTGGTAAGAACTCTTAACATGAGATCTAAAAATCTTAATGGATTTTTCAATGTTACAATCCATTATTACTGACTCTAGGTACAGTGTTGCACAGCGGATCTCTAGAGCTCATTGTTTATCTTGTCAAGAGCAGTTCCAGT